TCTATATTTATATCTATATCTATATTTATATTTGACATATGGGTAAAGGGCACAGCCGAGCAGAAGGGTGTTGGCGTCCTGGCACCTGGGTACATTGGGGTGCAGGCTCTGTGGGGTGGCTTTGGCCATCAGCTCAAGGCAGGAATCTTCATTTCCAGCTCTTGGCTGTGGCTGCCGAGGCGTTAACATTATGGCGAGCTAACAGCTTTTGTTAACATAAGGCTGTGCTAAGAGCTTTAAACTGCTCTAGAAGCGATGCCCAGCGTGTCTCAGGATGTGCTCTCTGCTTGTCCGGGCTGGCCAAAAGCAGGGCTGATCCTCTGGGGAGGAGAGGAATGAGGGTGGTGCCCCTGCGGTCGTGGCCGAAACCCTCGGCAGCCTTTGCACAAAAGCTTTCTTGCACAAAAGGCTTCCAGGTCTGGCGTTACCTTTGCAGAGCTGCGCATCCAGACCCTTCAGCGCGCCAAAACCTGCACCCGGGGCAGTGCGGGGGTACCCAGGGCACCCTGCATCGCTCTCCATGCATCCCAGGGCTTTCCCCTGCTGAGGCCTCTGGACTCGGATCCGTCTTTGGATGCGGTGACCCCGTTGTCAGGCAGGTTTCCTTGGGAGGCTCCTCACCCAGCTTTGCGTTTGGGTAAACTATGAAATATGTATGAGCTTCGCAGAACTGCAGAGTAACCAAAATTGCACCCTTTCAGGAAGGGAGCTGGAGCGCAGCTCTGCATTGGACTGCAGTGAGCCCAGCGCGTGCAGGACCTCTATGGTGCTGCCAGGACCTGGGGCTGGGAGAGGGGGCGGTGAATTCCTGGGGAGGCAATTTCCAAACGCCTCCGGGCCCAGGGGGAAGCGTGAAGCTCAAGTTGCTCACCCTGGGTACGTACGGCCCCGGGAAATGTCACAGCCGGCTGGGCTGGCAGCATCAGGGTCCAGTTGGAGGCCTGGATCCAGTGGGGTCCCCCAGGGGTGGGTACTGGCACCAGGACTATTCAAAATCTTCATCAACGACCTGGACAAGGGAACAGAGGGCACTGCCAGCAAGTTTGGGGATGTCACCAAACTGGGAGGAGTGGTGACACTGCAGAGGCTGTGCTGCCACTGAGATCTGGACAGGATGGAGAGCCGGGGGGGGAAAAGGTGAAGG